CTTCAAGGAGAATGAACACTAACCCGCGAAGTTCCCAGATGTCCCTTACGCTACCTCTGCTGTTCGTATTGGTAAAAGTACACAGTTTTATTTTCTTCGTGTCCTGTACTTTGCTGTCGTGTATTAATATAAAAAAAAATATTCCAATTGGATGTATTCTCTTCGTCGCCTCCCCCCCTCTCCCGGCACTTCCCTTTCATTTAGCTCTCGCGCAACAGAGCTGATTTGCTGTCCCCCCCCCTCCTCCTCCTCGTATCTGAACACTGATAACGGGTGCCCCTATTGATCCACCTGTCCTCGGGGGCGGTCTTGCCCTGTCAACACCCCTTTATCAGGGAAAGATTTTCGCGGCTTGCCATCCCATGGAATTTGGCAAAGTCTCGCCGGTCAATAAACGTTTTCGCGCTTCAAGGCAATTGATGAGCAAGAGTTCTCCATTGGAAACTATAATAGTTGCAGTGAAATTTTATTTTTGACCTTTCAGAATGCGAATATTATTTATGCATGCCAAAAAAGTCTAAAAATTAAATTATCTCTTCTTTCATGTTTTTTTAAGCTTTGGTGGGAATTTTATGAGTTTTTACCTTCGGTATTATCCATTTTTTCAGTAATTCAACTGTTGTATCATACTTTAGTATTTACTGTTCACATTGTGCAACAAAGTATACCCAATAGATAACACAAATTCACTGTAAAACGTTATTACCTGTACTTTTTCTTTTGGGGAAGGAAATATTTCCGATACGTCACAAGGAATCACAAAATCGTCGGAAATCTCTACGCCACTATCATTAATTACACACATACTCATCTTATCACGCAAGTGATACATTTTGCCGAACGTTTTCTGAACCCGCGCATCGCATTCCACGTCTTGTGTACATCTCGACGTGGCTGTAGACATTGGCGCGGGGGGGGGGGAGGTTTATTGGCGTTGATTCGGCGCATGCGTAGAGGCTCCTGTGCTCTTATCGCGCGCCCGTGGGCCGTACGTCCGCGAGGCGCGGCGCGGCGCGTCTGAGGGCCGGCCAGGAGGCCCTGGCAGCCCGGCGTGCGCGGCCGGCCCTCACCGAGGTCTCCTTCTCTTGTGCTTGCAGATTGACTATCCTGAGACACAAGGAGGTCGCACCAGCCGGAATTCCGCAACGTCCAACATGGACCGCGTCAACCTGGTGTTCGAGGACACGGTGAGTACTGTGCGAACGGCCGTGCGACGAGCGGGTTGGCCGAGCTTGAACTGCACTTCTGTAGCTTGCAGTACGCATAGAACTTCTCAAATATTTCCCAGTTAACTTTTTATTCTGAGAATAAGTTGACCTCTGCAGTAACGAATCCAAAGGGGGGAAAAGCTTTTAAATGTAATTTGTGTTCCCTTTATGTACACTAGTCATAGCATATCTAAAAAGTTTAATAAAGTAATATTACATTTACTATATATGAATAAAGGGATGACAATATAATGCGGAAATTGATTTGTTATCTTTTAAATTCCATCATTCCGGTAATGTGCATTGGGAGTTGAGTTAGCGCTAGAGACGTGACGAGCGTTCGCCCTCCCCTGCGCAGATCTCGGCGGGGCTGCCGGGACGGCCGGAGCTGTACGTGAAGTCGAACCGCTCGTCGCACTCGTCGGACACCAGCTCGGCGTACAGCGGCTCCGACACCATGGCGAGCGTGCACAGCTCGCTGGACGAGCAGGAGGCGGACATCTCGTGCCTGCCGGACTCGGACGAGGAGGAGGACCTGGCCGAGAGCATGGACAGCCTGACGGTGCGCGACACGGTGCGCGAGTGCCTGGAGAAGGACCCCTCGGAGCGCTCCGAGGACGACGTGGAGGCGCTTCTCGAGTTCACGCAGCACCTCAAGGCCTTCACCAACATGACGCTCGCCGTGCGGCGCGCGCTCTGCAGCGTCATGGTGAGCCACGCCCCCCCTCACCCCATCACCCGATTTTCTTTCTTCTTCTTCTTCTTCTTCTTCTTCTTCTTCTTCTTCTTCTTCTTCTTCTTCTTTCCCATCCTTACTTCTCGCTCCTTTCACGGTTTGTTTGTTGCATTTCATCCTTTTTATTTGTGTCTCTCCCCTTTTTTCTCTTTCTTTCTTCGTCTGTCCTTTCCCATCCTCACTTCTCGCTCCTTTGACGGTTTGTTTGTTGCATTTCGTCTTTTTTATTTGTTTCTCCTCATGCGTGCTCTTAGATTGTGCCTCCTTGTGTTCTCTTTTTTTCTCACTTTTATTTGGCTTCTACCATCGTCTTTGATAGGAGAATTTACCAGGACTTCGTGTAAATAATTTTATCGCAGTTTCAACTTGGATGTAAAAAAGTAAAGCTCTTATATTTTTTACCCGAGTAAATTACTTTTAAAATTGCAGAAAGTAGTGTCCTAGTTAAAAGTTGTAATCTCTACTTTCAAATTGTGAGCAAATATTTTAATTTCGTTCAACAGAAAGTTAATAATTCTCCATAACAATCTGAGAAACTTTTGTTGCATTTTATTTTTCACTATTTATTCATATCCCCAGCAAATTATTTTAACAACTAACATAACTACGAAGAGGAGAACAGAGATGATTTTACCAACCCGATAGCAATGCATACTCCTTCACTCTCCCTTCTTCATAAGTAGTATGTGGCTGAGCATTTACTAAGGATTGTGGTGCAGGTGTTCGCTGTGGTGGAGAAGGCCGGCACCATCGTTATGAATGATGGCGAAGAGCTCGACTCGTGGAGTGTGCTCATCAACGGCCACGTGGAAGTCGAGCACACCAGTGGAGAGATCGAGCAGCTTCATTTGGGCGACAGGTGAGTCCACAAACAGGGATGCTTTTAGGGCATATTCGACGAGTTCAGCAATACGAACTGAATTTGAATAAATTTATTATGGTGTTCTGGGAGATCAGAATGTTGGTAAATTAATACAGAAAATTCGTTAGGAATATTCCCAAATAATTATTGCTTTCTTAGTGTCATCAGTTCTTCCAGAAAACATGGTGCTAAGCCTGGATAGAATCTTGGACCTATATTTTTTACTAGCAAATTACAAATGTCTGCTTTTATTCAAAGCAGAAAATTGTCAGAACTTCAGTTGGTTCAAATTGTTTTTCCCATAATATTGACGTCAGTTTGTTTACTCCAGAAAATAATCTCTACAGTGATACAAAGACTAAGGTTTTAAGCTTACATCAGCAATTATCTAGTTATGTAATTAAATTTGAATTACACGCGGTTCAAATACCGTATTATGAGCGACCTTCGGAAACGCTTTTAATTAAACTCAAGAGCCCCGAATTGCAAGATGGCGTAGGGTGGGGTGGCACCTGTTGACCTGTTGCTCGTGGCGTGCGCAGCTTCGGCATCGAGCCGACGATGGACAAGCTGTACCACCGCGGCGTGATGCGCACCCGCTGCGACGATTGCCAGTTCGTGTGCATCACGCAGAGCGACTACTACCGCATCCTGCACCAGGGCGAGGAGAACACGCGGCGTCACGAGGAGGGCGGCCGCCTGGTGCTGGTGACGGAGCTGCGCGGCGCCCTCGACGGCGGCTCGCGGCGCGGACACGTCGTCATCAGGGTGAGGCCCTCCTCCTTCTCCTCCATTGCCAATTCAAACTAACCGCCAACAGATTTGTAGAAGATGCAAGCAGAGTTACCTAAATTTAAAATGGAAAATGCGATTTTATCCATTACTTACTAATTACTTACTAATAATAATCTATTTAAAATATTTGTACAAATTTGAAAGGGGTGAACACATTCCTCGGGACTTTTTAACAGCGTATTACATGAGTGCGTGATCGGGTCGGGGATTCTTTTGCAAGAAGCAGATTTGTTAGGGGATTTGTATGTCATTTTGGCGCGCCCCCCCCTCACCATTCCTTTCCTTTCCTATTTCTATTTTCTTCTCCAGAGGATTCCCTGAAAGTACACCTGCATGGTTTCACCAACCTCATCGCTCCTCTCATAGGAATGACATAAATTCCTTCTATTCATACCCCATAGTTTCCAGGGGCTTTGAGCCATTATTCCTCACGCTATGAAATCTAAATGAAAAAGTAGCTGCATTATTTTCTGAAGATGGGGGGGGGGGGGGGATTTGTATTCTTGGATCAATTATTCTAAAATTGTTTTTATTCCATAGGGCACACCCGAAAGGCTAATGCTGCAGCTTATAGAAGAAAATTCTATAATAGATCCAACATATGTTGAAGACTTTTTGCTCACCCACCGCACATTCATCGATAGTTCAATCCAAGTGGCCAATCAACTTTTGCAGTGGTAAATATTTTGTAATAGACTGAATTATTATCGATTGTTTTTGGATACTTGTCTTTAAACCAAATATTTCTCTTCCAGGTTTAATGAAGCTGTAGTTCGAGACAGAGTGACTCGAGTGGTTTTGTTATGGGTTAACAATCACTTCACAGACTTCGAAACAGACCCAGCAATGATGGAATTTCTGGAGACATTTGAAGCTGGTCTGGAGAAAGAAAAAATGCAAGGGCAGCTGCGATTGCTTAACATTGCTTGTGCTGCCAAGGCACGCACACGAAATGTTACATTGGCTAGGCCGTCTCGAGACGAAGTGCTTCATTTTTCAATTCTTGGTGGTTATGAGCGAGGCTTTGGGATCTTTATCTCTAAGGTTTGTGAATTTTCTTGGGTACTATCCCTCAATTTCTTCTGTTACAATACTATCAATCATTGATGTGTTTTTTTAAACTTTGTAAGTGAAACTATTTTTATTGCTTGAGCAGGTAGATAAGAAATCGAAGGCGGAAGATGTTGGATTGAAACGTGGCGATCAAATCCTTGAAGTAAATGGTCAGAGTTTTGATCATGTAACCCATGCAAAGGCGCTTGAAATTCTTCGAGGAACTACTCATTTAAGCATTACAGTAAAATCCAACCTTCTTGGTGTGTAACAAATAACTAATTTTTTTTATCAGAATTATTGTTTTCATGTAAAAATACTAACTTTTATCAATTTCTTCTTTCAGCTTTCAAAGAAATGTTGCAGACACCTGACAACTCGCCAAGACCACGCAATCGCAAGATATCCCAGGTTGCAGCTATTCAAGCTGACCCAAGATCTAGCAGACTCTCCGCTGTTGTTGATCCAGTCACCCTTGTAGATGTTGCATCAACTAGACCACTGGCTAGTTTAACAGCTTCTCCCAACAAAGACAACAAAAAGGAGGGCCACAAAGGTTTTATGACTCTGGGGCCGAAGAGGCGTTTGAAGGAGGCACTCATGAAAATGAAGTTTCTGCCCAAAAATACAATTATATCTGATGGAGGTCACACTGATGACACTGCCTTCACTCATCTTCAGTCCACTCCATCGGGGCAGACAACTTTATATCATAGTCAGAGTAACCCCGATCTGATGAGCATTTGTTATGATGATCTTAGGTCTTCTGATTACCCTGAGCATGTGCTGAAGGTCTACAAAGCTGATCAAACTTGTAAATATCTTTTGGTTCATAAAGAAACCACTGCACATGAAGTTGTTATGCTGGCTCTTCAGGAATTTGGAATTACTGACCCCAGCTCCAACTTTTCATTGTGTGAAGTGTCAGTGGCAGAAGGTGGTATCATCAAACAAAGACGATTACCTGACCAATTACAAAACTTAGCTGAGAGAATTGGTATTAGTAGTCGATACTACTTGAAAACAAATGGCACCACAGAAACATTAGTACCTGATGATATGGTCCCTGAGCTTGTGCGGGAAAGCCAGGTTCATTTCTTACAGTTGAATGCTGTGGAAGTAGCCATTCAACTGACACTTCAGGATTTCAGCATATTTCGGCAAATCGAAAGCACAGAATATGTTGATGACCTGTTTGAGCTCAAGAGCAGATATGGTGTACCCATGTTATCCAAATTTGCTGAATTAGTGAATAGAGAGATGTTTTGGGTGGTTACCGAAGTATGTTCTGAACATAATCTAGTCAGGAGATCGAAGATCATAAAACAGTTCATCAAGGTAGCAAGACAGTGCAAAGAGTGTAAGAACTTCAACTCTATGTTTGCCATCATATCTGGATTGGGACATGGTGCTGTGTCGAGGTTGAGGCTATCCTGGGAAAAGCTTCCCAGCAAATATCAACGACTTTTCCAAGATCTCCAAGAACTTATGGATCCATCACGGAACATGAGCAAATATCGTCAGCTGATCAGCAGCGAACAGTCCCAACCACCCATTGTAAGGGGCCCAATAGTATGTTCCTTATGTTTTTGTTGTTGCGATTTCTCTTTATTTTTGGCTTCTTTTGTGAACACATTTGAAATACTAAAAACTGCTGTAATTGGTATTGATAAATTTTCTCTTTGTTTATTTTAGATTCCGTTCTACCCTGTTGTGAAAAAAGATCTGACATTTATCCATCTTGGCAATGACTCGCGAGTGGAAAGTCTTGTCAATTTTGAAAAGTTGCGTATGATTGCTAAAGAGGTCCGATCTCTTACCAACATGTGCTCATCACCATATGACTTGCTCACTATGCTGGAACTTGGTGGCCAGCCTCCTTCCAGTGCTATGGTGGCCCTTAATCAACTCACAACAGGTGGAGGAGCTATAAGTCAACAAGGTGCAGCCACAGTAAAGAGGCGAAAGAAATCCACTGCACAACCTAATCCCAAGAAAATGTTTGAAGAGGTGTGTTAGTTGTTTTATACCATTAAGGAATATTCTCAGATCAGTATCTATACAATCAGTATCAATACAATATTAGTTAATACAAGCCAAAATTTGCTTCTGAATTTTGTTCTGTTGTGTTGTAAAATCTATTTGAATATTCATCTTTTAGGCTCAGATGGTGAGGAGAGTGAAGGCCTATCTAAACAATATGAGAGTAATAACAGACGAAGAGAAGCTTCATACCCTTTCTCTTGACTGTGAGCCGTCAGGAAGTGCACCAAACTCGGCTCCATTGCGAAAGAGGCATCCATCTCCCACGTTGTCTACTACAAGCAGTACGAGTAGTACCAGCGAGGGCAAGAAAGGTGTTGCAGGGACCAAATTTGGTAAGTTCCACTTTCTGAATTTTTATTATGTTATCATATTTCTTATACACTTAAAATTAATATTATTGTTAATGAAATTCATTATAGGTTGTAACAAATATGTGACTTCAATTTAGCTTCAATTTTTGCACTTTAAAATAAGTTTAATTAACTGTTAAGTTCGTAAAGATTTGTGTTCTCAAATATATCAAATTTTCAGTATTTTTGATTTTTCTCTGAATGATGACTTAAATGAAAATGTTTCAATTTATTAAATTAATTTCTTTTTATTATTTTGCAACCAGGGCAGGGTCCAGGTACGTTGTTTGCATGGGCTAGGAAATTGGGAAAAGTAAAGAAATGTAGTTTCATGATAAAATAATGTTTTCCTGAAGTGTTTTTTTATTAAATTAAGTGCTCATGCTCATTGTTTCATATGAAATGTAACAGATTGTTAGTTCCAAATCAAGAATTGCAGTATGAAACTGTTTTGAAAATTAATCTATTTGGGATTTTTGACTTTAATCCATAAAGGTTAATGTTATATAAGTGAATTGTGATAATCATGGAACAACTTTGTAGATGCCGGCTCTGTCCATGCTCCAGGAGCAGCGTCCCCGCAGGCGGTCAGGAAGATGCTGGCTCTCAGTGAGCCTAATAAGACACGGCCACACCAACCTCGCCACCCTCAGCAGCCTCCGTTGCCGTTGCCGGGACTCGCCCATCATCCGGCATTGTCGCCCACGCCTTCTCCAGGCTCTCATCGAAGAGTGGGCAGTGCAGCATCGGCTGCAGCAATGCGTGATCACACACACTCTGGAGGGCGCTCTCTGCACGAACGCTCTCACTCAGATACACCCACACTTCCGTTGCCTGTGGACCTCAGTGCGGAGAGCAGTTCTGTGACATCCCTGAGCAATTTGCCTCTTCGTAAAACGCTTACATCAGGTAAGGGACTAATTTTTATAAGACTTCAAATGAGGCACAATATGTCACACGTCCTTTCAATGCAAATATTTTATCATTAATGTTGTATTTTTTTTCAAAATGTACTGTTTTGTCTACTACTAATTTTGTTATTAGGAAATTGAATATAAGACTAGTGTGTGACATGTTTTGCCTTTATTTCTAAATTTCTGTATGGAACATATGCAACAATATTTTATGTCCACTGAAAGGTAGTAATATAGTTTTGTTTTTGAGGTGCAGAAGACGACTGACATTTTTGTAATTAAATTTTTCCTGGTTCTTCTTTTTCTTTTTTCTCATCTTTTTTTAAGTGGACAGAAAATGAGTCAGTTGCATAATAACTTCCATGCAGATACTGTATATGTATTGTTGATTAGGTCACTTTCAACTTTTCTCCCCCTCTACCACTACTTAAAACTGTCATTCTGAATGTTACCCACAACCTCTTTTGAGATTGTTGCATATTTGGAGGTTGTCTCTCTCCCTACCAGCATTGTGTTGCCCCAAAACCTTTTTTTGCAAGTGCATGTGGTTGCCAAACACAGTTATTATTGGTGGCACTATGCTTCTAGTTGCAAGGCTCGAGACTGCAGCATGTGCATGTTCTTGGGTCAGAGCTGTTCAATTTTTATTTGTAATTAACTTTCAATGAGTCTTGTATTAATTTTGATATTTTGTTTCCATTTATTGAAAACTTCTCTTAACAATGGAAGCAATGTTGTAAAGTGGCTCTGCAGTTTGTCAGAAAAATAGAGGTTGTCGGATGAAATAATCAGGATGACAGAGACAAGTGTTGTTCTTTTTAGCCTCCAAGATGTAATTTTTTTATGGTTGATGGGCTGTACTTGTGGAAGAATTGTCATTGTTTGAGTGAATGTTGTTTTACTTCGAAGCAAGAGAGCAAGTTTCATGAGTCATGAGTATTGTGTTGCTAGGCAGAGCCAGGATCTAGGCTCTGAGAGTTTCATTGGTGTTGTTAGGTTCAGTGACGTCAAGTGACTCTGGTCACTCTACCCAGCTCGACTCTCACTCAAACAGCTCTGTGGAAGTGGGCATGCTGGGCGGAGGCTCCGGTGGCGGGGGCAGCTGCTCCCCGCCCATCCCCCGTCGGCACAGCGTGATGCAGGGTAAGCACTTGCACGCTCACAATCCTGCATGGTCCTACTGCACTTTGCAACTGAAACTGGAATGCTTAAGACTGCATATAATTAATTATGCTCTGAGTTACGTATGAATAGCCTGAATAATACGGAAACTGCTCTGAAATATGAAAAGGATTCCTTCCCTCCATTTTTCCTATCCGTGTGAGAAATATTTTCTTTTCCTAAACAGAAATGTATTTGAGGCTGATTTTATGGTGATTGAAGGTTCACAATTGAGAAATTTATTTTGTGCTTCAAATAAATAATTTTTCTATTATATTGTTTTCCAGTTTCTTGGCAGTTTCCCATGTGCAGCCCTAGTGAATCATTGGAATTTGATGATCATCTGTGCAGTCAGAATAAGGATGAAATTGACAGCTCAGAAAGCAATTGAAGGTAGTGGCATGAAATGAAGCATAAATCATTGCAAGATAACTTTGATACTGCTGTACAAATAAAGCGGCTGTGCCACATTAATTCTAATTTCAGGAGAGGCATGTCCAGCATTTTGCTTGAGCTTGAAAAGAATAAGCTGATGTGAATCTTGAAATATACTTTAAGCAAAACTGCTCTGTCTCCTAAATTCTGTTTGAAATCTGTCAAATTCATCCTTTTTGCAACTGCACTTTAGCTTCACTTGCTTATCATATGATTTGTGAAATAGTGAAACATGTGCTTTGTTATAAAACAGCAAAATCTATGATCTGAATCTACAGAGTTCAGTTGGAAAATTGCTTCTTAAAGGCAGAGAAAATGAATTGTAATTCTGTTTACAAGAATGTGATTCTTTGCAGAAACTACAACCAATGCATGTGCATGAGTGTGTAGGTATTGTGAAGTGCATACATGTTAAAGAATGAAGTGTGCTTTATTTATGTTGCAGATAGTATCACAACTATTGAGTATTTTTAATTATAGTAGATATAGTTATTTTAAACATGCCTAGAGGTAGAAATGTATATTATGAATATTGTCTTTGCTTATTCATTTTCCTTCTTCAATTTCATCAGTGTTATTTGAAAAATTACAAATGTTTAAGAATATTCTCAGTGAATAAATGAGAAAGAAGCTTTGTTTGTTGTTGCTTTTTGATATTTTACGCTGATGGAAATTGAAGTGATACTAGTGTGGTCAGTAATATAAATTGTATAAATGTTGTGTGAAAGAATAACATGAGTGCATTAATCAAATTCATTTCTTTAATGAATGATGGTTAAATAATAATGAATGTTCTGTTTGTATTCCTGTGAAGAAATTTGGAATGCCTGAAAACATTTGAGTTTTAATTAATCCAGGTCATGATATGCTGACCTTTAGTCAATAAAATCTAGATCTTCATGCATTGTGCTTGCTTTGGGATATCCAAAGGATGTTAATGCACATCGAATGTGGCATGCGATTCTTTTTCTCTCTATCTCTCTCTATATCTCTCCTGTCTGTCGTTGCAGTAGCGTACTCCCCCCCTAGCAAGCCCCGGTCTCGGCCTCCTTTCCCGCACGCTGTGGCAGTGCTGCCACCTGTCCCACCGTATGGTAAGTTGCTGTGGTCTTTGGAAAGCATTGTTATTGTGGAATGCTTTTGTGAAAATAAAATTGAAGCTCAGTACATGTAAATGTTTCCAACAGATTGATCCTGTTTTTTTTATAAATTGTGCAAATTATTCTCAGCTTGCAAATAGTTACATTTGTTGAATGTAACTTTATTAAAGAACTTTTATTGCAGTATAGTGCTATGATAGACAAATGTTTGGAGAATATTTACATTGAGCAATGGTTAGTTTAGTGTGCAGTTATAGTAAATGGAATGTCTTTAACTGAGCATGCTGATAAGATCTCAGTTTGTCTTATTATTTATGAATGTCATTGCTCGTATAGCCTGTGCGCTTTTAAATAGAGATGCTTGAAAATTTTGTAGTGAAAAGTGTATAGTTTAACTACTTAGCTCTCTTGGACCATTCATGCTTTTGAATTTTCTCAATTGTAACTTATTTAATTCATTGTATCAGTGATGTCAAGTGAGCAGTGGGTTTAAGATCGTCAAAGATAACATTGAGGCAGAATACTGGATTTTGTATATATTTCAATATGAGCTAGGAATGTAGCAGGATTTTTTGGAAATATACTGTTCACCTATCATCACTGTCAACTATTAAATTAGCCAGTTGGAGAGAAAATGAAATTGGTTGTTCCAGGTTGTAACATGCCGCCACCTCCACCCAGGGACTTGCCACCCCGTGCTCGCCAGCCGCCTGCCTATAACGTAGCTGCGCAGATGGCTCGCTTGCAGCGATTGGGACGTGCACATTCCCATGAGGGAGTCACTGGTGGCTACTATCACACAGATCCTGAAGAAGATGGTAAGCAAGCTGCTCGAAAGTCATCCAAACATAGATACTCCTGTATTACAGAGATATTGTATTGAACATGTCTTTATAAATCAGAAGAGTGTGGAAGTCTTTTTAAAAGACTTGCACACCCTTCAGTGGCCACAAGACAATATGAAATAGGTGGTGCTGCCAGAAGTTTCATGCTGTATTTTTCTTTTTTACATCAGATGACGAAGACACACAAGTGTCTGCTGTGTAAGACAAAGAGCCAGCTCCGGACACCTCAGGACAAGGGACTGACACCATCAACGTAATTAAACGTGTGTCATATTTATCGTAATCTTAAATTTTGGTGTTGTGTCAGTGCCAATGTGTCAAAGTAGTACAGTTATTGTGTGAACTGTGTGAACTGTTGTGTTTAATGTTTATGTAGTCAGACTGGACTGTGCGAGCATCTGACTATCAAGAAAGAATGGGGGGGTCTTTATTTAATTTCGATTTGCAAAGAATCATTTGGAAGATTTTAAAAGGCTTGACTTTTTGTTGCATTTATGGAAAAATTGAAGATGCTTGTTAAACTGTTTGAGTATTCTGAACACACCGTGCAACTAGGAATAACAATGGAGAAGTGTTATGCTCTTCAACTGTGGACAGTGAAATAAATTGGTTTAGTGTATGTTTCCTGAACATTGGTAATTTTATGCATTTCCTGCCATGTGATGAAATGGCAATAGTCATTTCTGTACATGTTTTGGCCTACGTTTTTCTGCTGGTAGTTTCCAGTATTGTTTTTGATCTGATAAAGGACAATGAGTCAAGTTTATTCTTGACTTCAAGTATTTTCAAAGTTAAGTTACTAATTTTTTAAGATCTTGAAGTCTAAATGTGTCAACAAATGCAGAACTGCATTTTTAAATGTCCATAATTTTAATGTGAAATGTATCGTGTAGTACTATGTTGTATGTTGTAACAATGGTCTTATATGGAGCTGTATTGAACAGTTTTTTCTTAGTGCTATATTCTATTCTATTGTGGAGTCTCCTGCTTGTATTGTGGCCTTCAAGGAAGTGTGAGGGTAAACCAAAGAAGTTTAGAAGTTTCTATGAGCTTTTTTTAAAGTAGAAATATTAAGTTAGGAGTGAAGTCGTGCTGTTGTTGGTCACATACATTCTGTCAGCCAAGTTAATAATAGGACTCCATATCTTACAAATTAAATGTTTGACTAAAAATTCATGCTTGTTTAACTGTTGAAGTATTTCTGGTAAGAACTCTAAAAAGGAAAACAAGAAAAACATTTCGCTTGCAGATTGTTCTATATTAGTTTCACATTTAGAAAAATAAGAGAAGTTCTTGTCATTTGAAAAATTTGTGTTCAAAAGATGGTGTTATTTCACTATAAAGCCATGTAAGAGTATGCTTGTATGATCTGATGGTCAGTGATATTAGTAATGTTAAAGTGATCAGTGATGATATCGTGAAAACATATTCTCTTATCGCAATCTATAGAGCTTCAGAATGACATAAGTGAAGACTTACTATGACTGGTTGCAACATATCGCCATTGCTGCTGAGATAATGCATCTACAATAGACTCATTCCAAAGATTCGGTCCAGGTACAATTAACTATTTGTTTTTAAATGTTGTAGATAAACAAAGTATTTGGAAATATTTGAAAATATGTTTTATATATCACAGATTTTATTGAATATTTCCATCAATATTATTTTTCTGCTTATTGAAAGTCTTTACAAATGGTAATGTTTAAAAATACTCGATGTGTATAAAGTTATTCCAGTACTATATTTGTATTTGTCTGTAAGTAATAATTCTCATTTATGTTGCACATATTACTCGAATATATTGTGGCCAATTTCATGATTGTGCAATGACTTTTTTAATGCATTAGCTATAGGAAAATTTGACTGCTATTCAAGAAGGAAAAGAAGGTCTGTATATACACTTTTGGCCAGGTGTAGCATTTGTAACTTTTATTTGTAAAATGTACATAGATTTTGATTTTTAAAACTAATGAAGATGTGTAACTGTATTCTGTGCATGCATGTGAGAGTATGTGAGGAAGTTGCCTAGTCGTGCCCATATAATTACAACTACTGGTTCATTATCGATGTGATTGTTCCATAAGCTTGGATGTTTGATGTATTTCAGTTGCTCTTTGCTTCTAATGTATTGTGCAAGCTCTGCAGGATTTTTACACAAGTAGCAATGTGACTGCATCACACAATCTCTGTTTTTCACAATTTGCAACACCTGCATTGCAGTATTGAATCTCTTGTGCTTTATTGCTTACTCTTTTTTCCAGCAGGAAGTATTAAGTAGATGCCTGCTGTGCTCTCTGTTCTTCTGATCTTGCTGTAATGAAATCTTTATTCTTTTAATATTTGTCAATTTTTGCGAATTTTAATTTTTTATCTTTATATTGCTGCAATATTTATTTTCATAATTTTGATGTTATTACATGAAGTGAAGTGCACAAATTCAATTGTCCTTCTTGGGTTTGCACAATATGAGAAATTGGTGGCCACTTTGGGAATGACCTTCATTTTTAAGAAAATTGTTGTTTTGTAGAGTACCAACATGTACCGTATTATTTGTTGTGTCAGAAAAGCATGCCTCATTGGTCTTGTAACATTTACTTTTGGGGTTCTCAGAAGAAAAGCAAGGAACGCTGCTAGCTTCTAGCTTTATTTATCAATTTCATAAATTATTATGTTTCTACATGTTGAACTTATTATTACTGTTGTTAAAAAGCTCTGTAAATCTTTTTTGAAATCTTGCAATTTTTTTATTTTTGAGGAATGTTACTGTATATTTTCTGACCCAAAACTTCATTACACACACTGCAATATTTGTGTTCGTATCATATGTTGTTAACATATTAGTAACTGTAGTCTTTCCCATGTGGTCCATACACCCATATTGAATTACTGATAGTAAACAATAGTGAATTGTTTCTTCTAATTTGTATTGCTTCTCTATTTGGCTGCCAGTGGAAGTGTAGAATTTTGTTGTTTCTTCTTTCTTTTGCTATCTACATGAATCTAAGAGAGAGACAAAGTTTTTGGAATGGATTACATATATATTTATGCATATATGCAAATCCAGTTATATTTGTGTTGACAGTTTATACAAACAGTGCAAAATAACTTTATGTTTTATGTTAATTTAGTATTTGTGTATAATATTTCTTTAAATGTTGTACTATGGCTGCAAGTATGTAATTAATGTTTTAAATCATTTTACCATGGTCTAGAGCCATGGTTCCAGTTAGCTCCTCTAGCTAATACAGTCAGGCCCTTTCTGGTGGCCTCTCCTTCCTGTACAAAATAAATTCCAATAATGATGTGACAAATATGGTCTTTTTTATTTATTACCTTTTATTTTCTTCCTCTCTTGGTCCTACTAAGATTATTAGTTCCAATAAACTAAGGAAGAAAAACAGATTTTAAAACGGACATCTCTGTACTCTAGAAATGGTGTGTGGATAACAAGTTATTCTTTAACATTGGGAAATGTGTTGTGATGATCTTCTCTCGTGCTTATGATCAATACAATGTCAACTATCAGATAGATGGAAGAAACGTACAAATTGCTAATTCATTCAAAGATCTGGGCATAATTATTAATGAGAAACTTACTTTTGCTCATCACGTGGACAACATTTTTTAAAAAGCATACAATATCTTGGGATTCATACTCAGATCAAGAAAGAAGCATCAACACTCTGTCTCGTTTATTCTCTGCATTAGTGGTACCAATACTGGAATACGGAAGCATAGTTTGGTCACCATATACTGTCCAACATATTACACAAATTGAGAGAGTTCAACGAAAGTTCTGCAAATCGTTAGTTTATTATTTGTCAAGATGAAAATCTGAGAAACACTGATGATGTTTACGACCTACTTAAGATTGATAGCCTTTGAAATTGACAAATGATAGACCTTATTTTTTTCTAGGTATTACACAGTATTTAATGGCTTTATCGACTCACTTGAAATATTAGAGCAATTCGGCCTTGTATGCACCAGGCCAAATCTGCACACAAGAAGACTTGTGAATGTGAATAATTCCAACAAGAATTATGTCATCTTTGGGCCATACAATAGAATAGCTAACATTGTGAATCAGAGAGCACCAAACGTTCATTTCTTCGATATACCTATATCTACTTTCAAATGTAGCATAAAACAATTCATTTAATTTTTACTTATTTTTGTCTCAACCAAATTTGTGATACAATGTTTATGATGTATATCAATTGTATACTTCTGTTTATATGCTTATGCTCTCATAAATGTAATACATTATACTGTGAAAATTTATATGTATAAAGCCAATTGGTATATGTGAATGAATAAATACATATATAAATAAATAAAAACTATTACAAAAAAAAAACAACCAACACATAAATGTAATTATGACTGCATTGAATAGTTCTTCATTTCTAATATTACATTCAAAAAATCGTTACTTCTGTTGAATTTCACACTCAAAACGAAAACATCCTATTTGTTTCTTTTGACGAAAAATCAATGAGTCAACCATATATTTTCCAAATGGTAACATAGGAAAAGGCAGTCCATCAGTTATATCTGAACTCCAGTTCTTTAATTCATATCGGCCCTGTGAACACAAAGAATCAGAATAAATAAATTTTATTAGAAATCATTAGTCTGGAAATGATGTATTAAAAAATAATTAAAATATTTATGAATAAGTGATTTGAAATTAATCATTTGAGAAATCTTATAGATTTTTGCAAAGGTTATGATTTCAGTCAAGGAGTGGAACTTCTGTAATAATATTGCTGTAGTTTAATAAAAATGAGATCTGGACTACTGAAAGAAAGAAAATGAAAACAACAGAGAAAGTGATTCAGTTTTTTGTAAGATTTTGTCTAATTGTTTAATAGAAATCTTTCAAGTTAATATAAAAATCTAATTTTTAGAACGGAGAAAGGAAATGAAAGAAAAGAAAAGACACAAAAGTGAACTTCGTTACCTTTGAAAAGAATTTGATTGCTGTAGTGCAGAAATTAAAGTTCAATCTAACTAATTCTTTTTTGTTTCCTCTAGGCACTCGCACATTCATTTCTCCAATAAAAAATGTAGATTTGTAATTGCATTTGACTTATAAATATCTTAAATGGTTCATAAGAATTATTCATGTTTGTTCAGCTATAATTCTCTTTGAGAGGGAATTATTAGTGATTTCCTGATTTTAAAAAATCTGTGTGTAATTTGTCCATGCCTCTATCTCTCTCTCTTTCTCTTTCCCTCCCCCCTTCCCTGCCCGGTTCTGCCACCGATTTCCTAGGTGAAGTTCAACTTTAAAAAACATTAGTGCAGAACAAGAACCACCACATCCAAATATGCCATTTCCGCAGTGTGTGTAACTTAAAACTGTAATGAATGAAACTGTAATGATTTGAAAACGGAATGTTTGTATTCAATGTGATATGTGAATGTGTCTTCGTTCGCAGAAATATAAGATTGATGGGATACTATCTAAAAAATTAAAGTAAATTTCTGATTATATTGATAAATTTTAGTTTGCATGATTGATTATAAATGCCGAAATTACAATAATACCATTTTGGTATTTCTAATTAACTGAAACATATGAAATGAATGAGTTTGAAATAAATAAGCAAGTTCCTTGTAAAGCTGAAATCATTTTTTTTTTGGGTATATAAAAGTATCCTGTAAAATTTGAAAAATAGATTACTACTTTTAGAGCGTTTTAGCATTTTAACAAATAAAGATGGAAAATTGTGCTTACCAGAGTCAAATTATATTTCAATTAATGCTTTGTACTTCTGATTCAACAAATTTCAGAAGTTCAAGACTGAGTATTTCTTCAATTTGTTTTGTCTGCAAGGAACAAGATTCAAGACATATTGAATCTTGTTCCTTACAGACTCTTGTAGAAAAATGTTTTGAATCATTTTAATGTTGGTTGTTAGAGAACAAAATTGTTTATGAAGCGTTTAATTATCTGAGTGGTCATAATCTTTTCAGAATCAATGTCTCATAAGTTTTCAATTTTTTTAAAGTTTAAACATTAAATATTTCAGTAATATGTTTTACATTTTTTCTATTTCACTTCTCCCTCTACGACAGAATAGGAAGAAAATGTATTTAAATCAGCTTGGTACCATTTCAAATTTTCATAAAATGTATTTAAGATTCTTTTGAGCAGTAACTTCCGAACATGTTAGGATTAAGGTCTATTGGTGCTGTTCCAAAGATGGTCAAGGAGGTCAAGATTAGAGCAGGTGGCAAGGAGATGTATACCATTTTATACCCCAAAATTGGTTCCTATATCTCTAGAGATAAATGTATGCATAGTAGTATGTTTCACATAACTGTGTTAAGTTAGAAGCTTTTGAGCTGATACTTAGTAAATATGTCTGCAGTAAGATCTAGTTGTTAGGTCATGACGATCAATTAGATGTTTTAATTTTGGAGGTATTTTACATCTGAAAAATAACTTCAAATTTTTTCTTTAAATTTTAATCTTAAATAGAAGAAAGTGCTTATGTAAATAGTATCATTCCAATTTTCATTAAAATCTGTGAAATTTTGGAAAATGCAATAGTTTAAATTTCTTTTCAAATCTGTCTTACTCTTCTAATATTAAAGCCAAAAAGTTTTTTCTTAAGTAATTCATCCCGCAGTAGTAGTCCTTTAAATGATGTCATGCAATTTTTTAAAATAATATGAGCAGTTAATACCGCTAGAGGAAGAAGAGGTTTGGTATTCTTAACATTCCCTCTGCTTTATCTTTCATAATAACTGAAAATTGTTGTCCATTAATTTTCTGTCACTCTCTTAATCATTTATTTAATAGTAAAATATTCATGTTTATAAATTATGTAATTAATTAATGAATATTAACATTTCTTAGTTATTTTCTGAAAGTTTACGCTTCCTATTAGTCCTGTGTCTTACCAATTTTGTATTTGGTCTTTTGGCAGTGAATTGGTTTCCAAGGGTTTAAATACCTGCTCTTTAGTAGAGCTACTATTAAAGATTAGTCACTTGACCCCTGTATTAAAATAATACTTTCCATGTTCATTTTTGAGGATTATGAGGTGAATGTGTGTGTGTGTTTTGTTTCTTTGCATCACGTGTCTTAGCTCTTCTTGGACATTGAGCTTGTTTAAAGAAATAATCCATTAACTTATTTTGTCTTTCTGTCTCAACATGTGGCAGTCGGGCAGTGCCTTTTATGCCTTCAGCTAGGGACATGATTAGCAATAGGTTGTAATATTTGAATAAGTGCAAAACAATAATAATAATTAATAATAATAATAATAATATGATTATTATTACGATTATTTTAGTTTTTTTACATTATTATCTTACTATTGACAATAAAAATTACATTTCACTTAAAAGCTTAATTCTTGTTTTGCACTTATCCAAATATCACAACCTATTACTAATGTCCCTAGCTGAAGGCATAAGAGGCACTGCCTGAGTGTGATGTGTTGCGACAGAAAGACAAAATAAGTAGAAGAGCTAAGATGGTGCAAAGAAGCAAAATTAAGTACAGTAAACCGAGGTCACATTGTGCTGCGCAGGTGAGTTTCTGCCACTATGCCTTTCAGAAAACTATTGCTCTAAACTATCTTGTGTTGCTTCCACCAGAGACATTCATGGATACATAATGCACCTGATGAGTGGTGCTATCGATTACAAATTTTAGGAACTGCATTCTCATCACTGTGTTACCGCATTTTTACTTCTTAATTTCGCATCAATTGACATGCTCATGTACTTTGGGAAATTTGTGTTGCAATTCAAGAGTACAGCAACTTTAGAGATAATAAGGTAAGTGCATGTTTTACAGTACATTAATCTAGTGCGATAGAATTCACTCTCTGACTTTCTTAGTTTTTTGAATTTGAGAGAGTAATAAACTGATGGAAAATGAAGGGGTGTCTTTGTGCCAGTTGTTCTTGAATATTCAATCCAATATTTTCAAGTTTTTGATACTTGTTTTTAAATTATATATTTAGTTTCTTGTGAAAATGGGAAATTGTTACAATTTAACAATTCATGGAGTGATGATTCCCCCTGTAATAGCACTAACAATTCCTTATAGTTTTAATCCACAACAGGAAAAATCTGTAATGGTGCAGTATGAAGGAGAGTTGGTTCCTGGACAAGTCACTGCCACAGAAAGTGATTCAACACGGATAAATATCTTGCAGAAATCAAAGGAGTTTCGAAAATGGCCAGAGAATAGGGGCAACTTTGTAACAAGTATGTAGATATAATCCAAAAAATTCAAAATCCCTGTGTTAAAATCAAAAAGAGGACCATTTGCTAATCC